TATTTAGGAAATATATGTATTGGTCTTCCTATAGGGTTGCAATCCCCTTCAGCTCCTTCAATCCTTCCCCTGGCTCTTCCATTTGGGTCCCAGGGCTCAGACCAATGGTTGTTTGTGAGTATCTGCATCTGTGTTAGTCAGATGCTGGCAGAACCTCTCAGGGTACAGCCATACCAGGGTCCTTTTCAGCAAGCACTTCTTGGCATCAAAAATATTGTCGGGGTTTGGTGTCTGCAGATGCAAGGAGAGGAGGGATGGGGTATGGGGAGGGGGAGGGGAAACTGGGAAGAGGGATATCATTTGAAATTTAAATGAATAAATTGATTCATAAAAAAGGAAATATATGTACACACATTCACATCATATACATCTATACATACATCTATACATGATACATACATGCACATATACATTTCTGTGTATACATATATTCATACATACATACACATATATGCATACATATATACATACATATATACATACATATATGTATACATATACATATATTTGTATGACAGCAATTAATGAACAAAGAGGCCATGGATTTCAAAGCAAGCAAGGAAGGGTGCGTGAAAGGTATAGACAAAGGAAAGGAAAGGGAAGGGAAGGGAAGGAAAGGGAAGGGAAGGGAAAAGGGAAGGGAAAAGGAAAGGGAAAAGGGAAGGGAAAACGGAAGGGAAAACGGAAGGGGGAAGGGAAGGGTAAAGGGAAGGGAAAAGGGAAGGGAAAAGGGAAGGGAAAAGGGAAGGGAAAAGGGAAGGGAAAAGGAAGAAGGGAAGGGAAGAAGGGAAGGGAAAGGAAAAGGAAGAAGGGAAGGGAAAAGGAAGAAGGGAAGGGAAAAGGAAGAAGGGAAGGGAAGGATTAGGGAGGGGGAAATGCTATAATTGTAATCCCTAAAAATAAAGTCATAACAAAACAAACATGACAGTAATACAAATGATACTCTCTCCATCCATGTTGATCATTAACTAATCTCAGCTCTGGAACAGATGTCCCTGGCCCTTCTCTCTGTCTCACTCACAAGGCATCTTTTACAAGAGATGGGACCAAGAGCTCAGCCATTAAGCTCAATTTGATAGAAAAAGATCTAGAAACTAGGCCATATTTTAAAAGCAAGCCTTCAATTTTCCATTCCCCCAATGGTTTATGACATTTAACAGGTAATATCTGACCCCACCCTGACCCTTTTTTTGGTGCATTGTTGTCATGGGATTTTTTTTCCACTAGTGTTGAATGGACACACAGTGTCCATTGTAGTTATACAAAAGTCTTACTTTAATTTTTGTGGGGCTTTTTATATTTTCTTTATTTACATTTCAAATGCTATCTCTTTTCCAGGTTCTCCCCCTCAGAGACCACCATCCCATCTTCACACCCCCTGCTTCTATGAGGGTATTCCCCCACTCACCCACCCACTCCCACCTCTCCTCCTTGGCATTTCCCCTACACTGGGGCATCAAGCCTTCACAGGACCAAGGGCCTCCCCTCCCATTGATGTTCAACAAGGCCATTCTCTGCTACATATACTGGTGGAGCCATGGGTCCCTCCATGTGTACTCTTTGGTTGGTAGTTTAGTCTCTGCGAGCTCTGGGGTATCTGGTTGGTTGATATTGTTGTTCTTCCTATGTGGTTGCAAACCTTTCAGCTCCTTCACTCCTTCCTCTAACTCCTCCACTGGGAACCCCGTGCTACTTTCAGAGTCTTGATCTCATATGTGCACCATACCTCTATGGAAACCGCTTAATTAAAATGGCCAACTATAGTATGGGGGAATTCGAGGGGAGGGTGGTAGGAGTGAGTGGGGGGGGG